GTACTGTTGCAAAAATTACAAGTAAATGGCCGTTCTCTGCTGTGAGTTCTCAAGTGGATTTTTAAAGCACATAAATTTTCATAAGGTTTTCTGCAAATGTGACATATACGGCTTTGTATCTTCGGATCATCTGCTGGAATCTAATTATTCATTGAGTTTTCAATTAAATATTTACAATATATAACAGACGAAACGCATATCTTTAAATGCGAATACTTCATGCCAATTATTTATTTAAAATGTCGTTAATCGATTTTCACGATTTATTTCATTGTAATGTCGGAATTTTACTAAACTATATGTATAGGAAATTATTTTATAAAAATACAGTTTACAAGGTGTTGCTCAGTAATATTGTTAATTTTATTACTGATGTTAGCAATTACGCACAATCGAACAAGTCTTATTGACTCTAAGCTGAATTCAATCTTAATAATATTATTTGTATTATTAACAAAATAACAACATGAAGTAATTTAATAACACCGTAAACAATAAAGAAGACGTTTATGGTGTTCCTACTTTATAAAAACTTGATATTTACTTTACATAAAATCTCTTGAGGATGCTTTCTGTTCACGTGTCGTTCTAAATTCTTTTTCCACTTAAAGCTCCATCCCACAACCTGTGTAATTGCACTTGAATGGTCTTTCATCCGAATGCGATAGCAAGTGCCGTCTTAAATTGGTTTCATCCGAAAAATGACGTTCGCAGATATTGCATTTAAACGGCTTCTCATCTGTGTGAATCCGCATGTGTCTCTGTAAATTTTGTTTTGTTGAAAATGTTTTACCACAAGTCGGGCATTGAGGTTATCCGTCCTTTTAAAAAATTACGTTGAGTAAAAATAAATAATTAGTAAAAATTTAAATCTAAATTAATTATGGTAATATAAATAATTATCACGCATTGAAATATTATGCTAAAATCTGTAATATGTACTCTAGGCACGTTACGAGATTAAAATTGAAGGTATCCTGTCAAAAATTTTTGAAAATCATTGCCAAATTGAAAGTGTTTGACAAAATAAAGGTTTTACTCACCATTTCTATTGTTAATTAATTTAATTTAAATAGTAACTGCTGTAAATTTAGTCTTTTAAATTGAATGTAAACATTTCGGAGAATGAAAACAACAATGCCGAGAAATAATAATTTATAATTTTATTGTTGTTCGAAAGTGCTTAATTAAATGCGCATGATTTGAACACAAGAATACCGTAATTAGAAACACAGAGATATAATTGTATCTTATTCCCGTTTTCTCCTGTGACATTTCGCTGTCACATTTATATTATTAGTCATATTTTCAAATGTATAATAAAAAGTAGTTTTAAAATCATATTTTATGCATTTTGGCATTTCACTCTCTTGACGTAAAAAACGAGTTTTGGTTTATCACTTTTGGATTTTTGTAGACGATCACTTTGAAGTTTTCCCAGGAAGGATATATAAAGACAATCACAATTAGAAAGGCTTTTAACGAAGCCTTAAACGGAAAAATTAGTTGTACAGACTGCATCCTTAAGTGATTTTATCTAAAGTAAATATTACAAGTTCTTATAAAGTAGAAACACCATAAACGTCTTTTTTATTGTTTACGGAGTTATTAAATTACTTCATGTTTGTTATTTTGTTAAAAATACGAATAATATTATCAAAACTTGAAAAGCAATTGTACGATTGTGCGGAATTGCTAATATCAATAATAAAATTAATAATATTACTGAGCAACACCTGTAAGTTGTATTTTTATAAAATGATTTTCTATATACATAATTTAATAGAATTCCGACATCACGATGAAATAAATCGTGAAAATCGATTTATTTCATTTTATTCACAGAATAAAACAATAAATATAAACAATAATTAAAGTTTATAAATGCGCACACTAAGCCATAAAGATATTCATTGTAAACATCTGAAAGGCATATTAATAGGCTAAGTCTATGTAGGCAAAATATATAACAAATAGAAAACAAGGACATAGAAACATACGAATTAATATGTATCCTATATTGTTTAATTCATTTCTAATCCTTTTTATTTCATTTACTCGTTAGATTAGTTAAGTAATTATCATCTTGACTTTGATTGAATTTCTTAAAAAAGACGGCTATCTAAGCCCTTATTCTCGGTTTTATATAAAGTCTTAATATCACGTGTTAGGGCGCAAATATATTACCATAACTGGTGTGAGGTCCTGACGTCACAAAGATGTGAAGATCCCAGTGACTATGCTATAAAACCATCCATTAACAAAGTGAGCGAGTTTAGCCGACTCGTCTCCGATTAAGTGGTATACTGTTTAGGCAATAGCCTTTACCAATGGCTTTTCATACTTTCGTGTTGAATGTCTCCATACTGCTCATTGACAGATTGAAGCTAATCGCAGAGTACTAATTCTGTGCATATGTGATTTCTATAAGTCTATAACGTTGACATAATTATGTGTTTATGCAATTAATTTTTGTTTATAGAAAAACAATATGCAAACTTCATATAATTCCGGATTAAATTATTTTTACTTGGTAATTTTCAAAAAGAAAAAGTCTGAAGTTTATGAAAATAATTGAGAATTTATTAATAATTTTTATTTAATTCAAATCACTACAATCTGAATGTTAACTATCGTGTGTAATTTCGTCACTAAAATTTAAACGTCAAACTCATTTGAAATCCACTTACACAGATTACAATCGAAAGAAATACAAAACAATCGTAAACTAAAAAGTATTTTAACGTTTTTAAAGTTAAAAATGTTCCTTAATAATCCTTTTTTATGTGTTCTTGCATTGAAACTTCGTCGTCAAACTGAACTTGACACAAGACACATTGCAATTCATATCGATCGATTCTTAGTTCTGGGAAGAGAATGAAAGATATGGATGGTACCACATCTGTTTCGAAGGTAGTGTCTTTATGAATGTTTTCAAAATTATGTGATCACTTGTCATATTATAAACGATTTCTTTACGTTGTATTTGTGCTTTTTCGAAAACAATTTCTGCACTGTAACACGGATCAAATTCTTTTTTATTCCTCTCATTTAGGGGAAGGTGGTGCAAGATGGGGTCGTGGGGGAAGACGGGGACGTCTGTTTATTTGTGGTTAATGTTCTTTTATCTAGCTATTATTTGGAGAACTAAATGTCTACCTCGANTGATTTTACATTCCTGAATATGTATAAATAAAACATTATTCACTACAGCTGCTGAGTGTCTGTTGCTAACATCGCAATTTATCTTTACATATTCGAGGCTATTCAACTAATGGGCATGAAAGCACTTTGTTACTGACTTGCGAGAATATTTGGCTGCGATTTGAAAAAAACTATAGATCTAAAAATTCCCAATATTATCCGTCTGTCCATTTGTACGTCATTCATTGCATAATTTCGAGAACGGAGTTAGATATGAAAGTCCTAAGGCAGGTGGTCTCGGTTAATTTCGTTTAAAACTTTATAATCTATATCTATATCTATATATATATATATATAAATGAGCATGTATGTCCCTATATTTCACTTTTTCGCCAAAACTACACATCGCACGTGAATGGTGTTTGTATGTGGCGGTAGCCCCGTCTCCATTTGTTCATAGGGGTGGTTGCGTCTCGATAGCTGTAAGGGTGCGGGAGATATGAGGCTGAAAGTGGTTGAAAGTGGCTTTCTATTTCGAATGTTTTGTTCGAATTTGTTCGAATTAAATTCGAACATAAAATTCGAATATTGGTTCGATTATAGAACGATTGTAAACGTTCCAGAAACGTTGAAAATAGTT